CATGCACGAGGCAATGGGTTCGATCCTCAGCACCACATAAATGTAAAATAAAGATATTGTGTTAAAAAAAAATTGATGTGGCTGCATCACTGTAGTATGCTAATTTTAAGTTCTTTGGGTATAAACCAAGGAGTGGGATAGCTGGGTCAAAAGGTGGTTCCATTCCCAATATTCTGAGGAATCTCCATACTGTTTCCATAGTGGTTGCACCAATTTGCAGTCCCACCAGCAACGTATGAGTGTACCTTTTTCACCACATTCTCGCCAACATTTATTGTTGCCTGTATTCTTAATGATTGCCATTCTGACAGGAGATGAGATCTTAGAATAGTTTTGATTTGCGTTTCTCTAATTGCTAGAGATGTTGAACACTTTTTCATATATTTGTTGATCAATTGTATTTCTTCTGTGAAGTGTCTGTTCAGAAACAGTGTAATTTCTGTTCAAAGCATTATTTGTGTGTTATAACAGCATCAGTACATTTTATTTTTTATATTTGTCTGTCCTCCGGAATTTAACCTTCTAGGTTGAAATCATATTATGTTGATTGACTTAAATCTCTTGTCAAAAATGATTAATGAGGGGCTGGGGTTATAGCTCAGTAGTAGAGTGCTTGCCTTGCACGTGTGAGGCACTGGATTCAATCCTCAGCACCACATAAAAGTAAAGTTAATATATTTAAAAAGAAAAAAAATAGTTAATGACCTCATGGTCTCATAATGCCTGCTAGGAAGCATTCTGTCTGAGAGAGCTATTAGTTGTTAACTGGTACTAATTTAAGTGATATTACAAAGATTGACAAAGATAATTTGAAGTATATTTCTTGATGTAATCAGAAGAGGTCTTTCTTCACAAGTCAAGATTGGTAAGCAGGAAAATAAGTGATGGTATATAACAGATATGTTCAGCCTCAGAGTTGTCAGCATACTAGAAGCTTGGCATTAAGAGAACTCGGACGGTCTTGTCTTAACTTGTTTGAAGCTATGAACAAACATTTTGGCTCTAGTTGTCTCCTGCAAAGATTCTCAACCTATGACCCTCAAATAGATCTCTCTTTTCTAAAATTGTTTTTCTGCTGGGCATCTGCAGCAATTGGCATGAAGTGCTAGAGAGTTCATGTAGCACCAGGCTACTTTGCTGATGAAAACTTTGCCCGTGGTGCCTGCTATAAGTGAAATTAATTAGACTTGTGCTATCCTAGTCAATTTCCCTCCCAGCAGGTTGTATGGTTAGAGCTCCTGAGAGTCTTAAGACTGAGTCTTCAGTTCTACTAATTGCCGGGTTGTACATTTTTAAAAATTGGAAGATGGGTGGTGATACACACACACATGACTTGGCTGCAGCAGAGAAGATGGAGAAAAATAACTAAGACCAAACTAATATTTTTTTTCTTGGTTGTAGTAATAGACCAAGATTTTGTAGCAATAATTAATCTGGTTTTTAAATTTTGTCCTTTTCTTGTGCTTGAGAATTTCTAGATGATTAATTATCAGATAAATTTGAAGTTTACTTTTTTAACAAAAAACTTCAAATTAGAATTTTTATGATGGCTTAGTGTAGAGAGAGTGTGAAGCACACACCTCCAGAGCCAAATTTTATGCTAACTACTATGTAAAATTCACATCTCATTGCCACCTTACCCAAAAGTGGGACTTTTGAAATTTCATTCTGACCAGTAATGGTAACTGGGATTTGTAAAACTGCATAAGGTATATTTGCTTGTTACTGAACAAATAAGTAGTTCTGTGAGAATGTTTTCTTTCAAATGCAGGCTTACTTTGAAGGTGATCACAATAGTATTTAGTGTTTTGTTTTGTTTTTTATGGGGGATTGAACTAAGGGGTGCTTAACTGCTGAGCCACATCCCCAACAACATATAAAAGACAACAGTTGAGAGAAAAGGGAATAATTAAGCTATTAGAGTTGTTACAGAGTGAGTATATGATCATATATAAGATGTAAAATAATTAAACAGGCATATGAATCTGTAGTTCTAAGATATAAGTCACAGATTTGTCTTTGGGCTTCCTACTGGCCCAGTAAAGAGGGCAACATGATCAGTTATAATATTTAAGTTGTTTGTCCATAGTTGAAAACTAACCAGGTGTTCAGGAAAGAAAATTATCCCTTGGTTATTATAAATCAGACAATATCCTTAAACTGTTGTACAATACCCAAGTACCTGTCATCCCTAACAAATATTTGTATTCTCATATTTGCCTCATGTCATCCTTATTTTAAAACAAACATAACACAGTTGAAGTATCTTATATTCTCTTCCCAATCTTATTCTTTCTCTCCTGTGATCATAAAACTTATAACTTGTCAGTGTTGTTTTTTCTTTCTTTCTTTTTTTTCTTCTACTTCATGCATATATCTGTAATAGTACTTAAATCTTAAATTTGCATAAATAGTATACTGCACGGCACATGTCATTCCAGAACTTTCTTTTTTCATTAGTTCTGTGATATCCATGGTGCTATAGATCTAGTTTATTAATTACAAATCACGAAATAATAGTTTCCCATTATGTGGAAGTAATCTAATTTAATTATCTATTTCCCTACTAATGGATTTTTAGTTTGTCTAGTTTTTCACTATTAGAGTGTCATTTTGAACACTCCTGTCTATGTTTTCTTGTGCCTAAGCATAGAGTTTTCTAGGGCAGTGGTTCTCAAATGTGGCTCCAGAAGAAGCACATCAGGATCACCTGGGATCTTGTGTCCAGCCCAAACCTCTGAATCAGAAACTTTGGGGATGGGGCCAGCAATCTGTTTCAGAGGTGATTCTGAAGAGCTCCAAATTTGAGAACTAGTGCTCTAATGCATACACAGCTAAAATGAGATTACTAAGGCTTAGGGTACATATTCTTTAAATTTTGCTGGATATGGCCAGATTCCCATATGTAGTATAGTTACTGCTTTACAGCCTTACCAATAGTTTATGAAAGTTCCTATTTTCTCATTCATACTATGGTTAAATATTTTTTTCTTACTGGTCTAGGAGATATAAAATGTTTAAGAGATATTTTCTTTTTTCTTTCTTTTATTGTTAGTGATAACTTGTACAGGATAGTTGCCCTTTTTCTTATTGACTTTTGTATGAACAATTTATAATTAATTTTTATATATTAATAAAATTATTAATATATGCATTACAAGATTTTTTTCCTTTCCTTCTGTTTTGACTTTGTTTATGTTACTTAAAAATTGTTGCCAAGCTGGGCACAGTGGTACACGCATGTAATCCCAGCAGCTCGAGAGGATGAAGCAGGAGGATCATGAGTTCAAAGCCAGCCTCAGCAAAAGCAAGGTGCTAAGCAATTCAGTGAGACCCTGTCTCTAAATAAAATACAAAATAGGGCTGGGGATGTGGCTCAGTAGTCAAGTGCCTCCTGAGTTCAGTCCCTGGTACGCCTCCCCCAAAAATTCACCAGTTTTAAAATCATATGTATTTAAGGTATGCAACCTAGTATTTTGATATGTATATGCATAGTGAAATGATTACTTCAGTCAAGCCAATTAACTTATTGCCCACATGTGTACATGTGAAAAAAGCACACGAAGTCTACCCTCTTAGCAAATTTCCAGTATAGAATACAATACAGAATATATTACAATTAACTGTAGTCTTTATGTTGTTAGATCTTTAGACTTACTCAGCCTACCTATGTGCAACTTTGTACCCTTTGACCTATATTTCCTTATTCCCTCCTGCCCAAAATTCACCAATTTTTTTTTAATGTCCTTTGTATTTAGAAAGGCCTTATAGAGAAGTTTAAGTTTGGATTTGCTTTGCTGCTGGAATACTATCCCACTGAGACCATATAGCAGTTATTTGAAAATAGGCTGGGGCTGGGGCTGGGGCTCAGTGGCAGAGTGCTTGCTAGCATGTGTAAGGGACTACATTGGATCCTCAGCACCACATAAAAGTAAATAAATACAATGGAGGTATTGTGTCCATCTACAACTTTAAAAAAAAATAGACTGGGATTTATGAGAGAGGTAAGACTTAGAGAGATTTGGGAAACATTTGTGTAAGGCCAATAAATTGACACTGTTAAGATGGATAAAATTGCCATAAAGACAATGTAGATTGAGAAAATGGTCAAGGATTAAAGGGGAAGCAACAATACAGGAAGAGAATCCAAGAGATTTGAGGAATGATCAACAACAGAAGGATCTAGAAAATCAGATGGTAACAAATTGTGAGGAGATATTCTCTAATGCCCCTTAGAGAAAGGAGCACATTTAAGAAAGGTGTAAAAATGTTGCCTTTAAGAATGCAGCTAGCAGGCTGGGATTGTGGCTCAGTGGTAGAGCACTCCCCTAGCATGCAAGAGGCCCTGGGTTTAATCCTCAGCACCACATAAAAATACATAAAATAAAATAAATTAAAAGGTATTGTGTCCAACTACAACTAAAAATAAAATAAAATAAAAAGAATGCAGCTAGCAAAGGTTTGAGGAGTAAAAGATTTCTACTACTTTAGCAGCAAGTATAAGAGATGACGCAAAGTTAGAGCAATATTGCTGGGGATGTAGCTTAGTTGGTAAAGTGCTTGCCTGGCATGTCCTAGGCCTTGTGGGGTGGGGTAGAGGGGTAACAAGGTCATTTTGTGTTAGGAGAGGAACATTTGTGCCCTTAGGGAAGGAGCCAGTGGCAAGTTGGGAAGTATGAAGTTGCATCTGGTAATCTTGCTGGCTCCTTTGCAGGCAGCCTTTTCATAGATGTTCTTTATCTACGCTTTGAATAAGATCATTTGGTAAGATAATATTGAGCACTGTGCAAGGGTTAAGATAGGCTGCTATAACTGAGTAGGAGACTACTTTAGGTGGTCTTCTCTGAAGTAAATATTAAATTTGAGACCTAAGTGGTAAGGAACCATGTGAATGGTCAGGATAAAGCTTTCCAGACAAACCACAAAATTTCCAGTCTCTAGAAGATCAAACAAAGAATAGTAAACCAATCTAATAAATATTGTTTGTTGGATTCAACCAGAGTGAAGAAAGAACAGAAATCTTTGTTCCCTGACTTTGGAAACCTTGTTTAACCTTCAAACTGGCGATGTCAAGGGTTCCAAGTCCTCCACCTCCGGCAGAAATGTCGAGTGGCCCTGTAGCTGAGAGCTGGTGCTACACTCAGGTAATTTCTTGATTCACCCTGTAAATCTTGCATCTTGGGAGGATTTGATGAACAAATATTCTTTTTGCTTTTCTATGTTGTGTTTCCTGCTTTCTCTGGAACATTTAAAGTGCTTGTCAACCTTGCATTCTTTTCTTGGTTTTTCACATGGAATCTGAATCTCCAAGACTAGTGTTTTTCGATGGTGGTTGAAAGGGGGAATCTTAGAAACTAGATTTGTTTATATCCCCTTGATGGAAATATGCACTAAGGCTCCCCTGCTGGAGGATCCATGTCTGAGATTTGCAACCCCAGGCAGTGTTCTCAACATCTCAATTGGAGACTCATTTTAGGTCTGGTATTATCATCTGCTTTCCCAGCCCTGGTTTGATACTGGTCCCTCTGCTCCATGTTTTTTCACTTTCCATACAGTGTTTCTCAGAAACTCAAAAAGTTATGAAAAGCAATTGGTCAGTGTGAGATTTTTTAAAAATGAGGGAACTGAAGCAAGAAAACGCTGAACCTCCTTGCTAGCTCAGCCATGCTAGCGGGCGGGCATCACATAGAGAGAGGGAGGAGGGAAAATGTTTATCTGATCTTCAGCCTTTTTTTTTTTTTTTCCACTTCCTATTTAATTGCTTTCCTGATTTTCTATCAACAGATCAAGGTAGTGAAATTCTCCTACATGTGGACCATTAATAACTTTAGCTTTTGCCGGGAAGAAATGGGTGAAGTCATTAAAAGTTCAACCTTTTCATCAGGAGCCAATGATAAACTGAAATGGTGAGGAAGAATACCTCTACCTGTAAAATTTTTTCCCCTAAGTTGCCTATTTTGCTTGGTTTTATGGGACACTGATTAGAATGTAAGTTCTTTTTTTTTTTTTTTTAATATTTGTTAGTTGTATTTGGACACAATATCTTTAGTTTACTTATTCATTTTTATGTGGTTCTGAGGCTCAAACACAGGGCCTCACACATGCTAGGTGAGTGCTCTTTCGCTGAGCTTTTACAATCCCAGCCCTAGAATGTTAAGTTCTTGAAAGCAGGGACTTTGTTTTGTTTTTACTATGTCCCCAGTGCTTAGAACAGTGCCTAGCAAACAATAGGTGATCACAAAAATTTGATTAATTCATTGAATTTATCAGAGATCAGTAAACTCAAGCTGTAGGGTAATACAAATGAATAAAGAGGACCAATGTTAAAAATGATATCCATACATGGTATGAGTAGTAACTACTTGGCAATCAAGTAGGTATCCTTATAAAAGGAGCAGAGGCTACTCAACTCAGCCAACCATAGCTATCTGAATAAGGGCTGACTATCACTAGATTTTCTGGTTTTCTAAGAAAAGCTAGAAATCTAGCTTAAACAAAAAATTTTGACTTTTTAATTGCTTATTTTTAAGCAGTAAAGGGGGGAGGTTATTTGCCTGTGGACTGGACTGACCAGGTTGTAGGATGGAATTTAGCCAGCAGGCTAGTGGTTAGAGTAAGGACCCATCTCTCTCTTCTCAGCCTGCTCTCCATGCTAGCTTTCCTTGTGCTTAAAGGCTGACTAGTAGTAGCAATGGACATAACCCACTATGTGCCAAGAATATGTCACAGTAGCATTGAATGGATGAGGTCTGAGTTCTCTAAACTAATCCCTATGGCAAGGGCAACGTGATCTGGGAGTGGGGATCAGTCATCATCAACTGTACAATGTTATTTATGTAACTGGACTGAACTGATTTTTCAAGGTTGTTGGCATCTCAGCTTTACCCTTGTTACTGTTCATAAGAACAAAGATGGTGTGCTGTCTTAGTATACATCAACATTGCTTGGGTCAAAATTCTGGCTTTTTCACTATGGATTTTTCAAATAGCATTTCAAAAATCAAAATCATGTGTCATCTTAAAGAGGAGCAGGCACTTAAGGATATACCCATATGCCCATTACAAAGACCAAATATATCTCTGAACCAGTTTGGAACTCTTTGACAACCAACTGAAGAGTTGTTTATTCATTTATTTAGCTGTGTACATTAAGCAGTGGACCACTAGGTATTGAGAGAGCTGTTTATTCTTAGGCATTATATTTAAATTCATATCTGTAGCATATTATATAGTGATGTATGTGGCATCTCTACTCCCTAGAGAAGCACTGGATTGGGCCACCTGTTTAAGAGAGGTGTCATAATACTGGCAAGGCCTAAGGATACATATGGCCTATGTATTCTATGTGATAGAAGCAGTGTCTGAACCACATGCAGTTCAGCTAATGACATTTACAACTTAACTCACTTGAACCTATTCAGTTCTGCTTAAATTTTATTTTGATCCATCCATAACAGATTGGTGTCTCTAACTATTTAGAAGCCTAGTTTGCAACCCTACCATGTATAATGGGGATTTACTTTTGTCTGTGCTTCTTCCATACTTCCTTCTTTATTTTCAGAATATTATTGCCAGATTGATAAAATAATCTGTAAAAGATTAGGTACCATTTGCATATTCTCTAGAATACTTTTTCTCTTCCACAGTGATATTAAAGGGTTCATTGGGTTTTGTTTTGTTTTTTGTTTCTCTGTTGTCTTAACAAAATTAAGGGCTGCTGTTCCTGAGATTGAGGATTGGAATATAACAAGACTAGGCTGAATTTTAAAATGTTTTAGGGTGAAAAAGATGAAAGCCCCTTTATTTTTGTTGTTTACTTTTAAACAGGTTCACCCCCCTTCAAGAAAGGGGTTCAAGAAAGCCCCTTTATTTTTGTTGTTTACTTTTAAAAGGTGACCCAAATTGCTCTAGAAAGGTGGTTCCCAAGTAGTAATTCTACTGAATCATAATCTGATATGAGGCCTAGACTTTTCTTTAAATATCTCCCTCTTGATTCTGATGTTCTATTCTGTTACTTCACAAGCATTTAAGGATACTTTTGACACCTTTTTTTTTTTTCTTTTCCTGTTTTGGCAAGGTGTTTGCGAGTAAACCCAAAAGGGCTAGACGAAGAAAGCAAAGATTACCTGTCACTTTACCTGTTACTGGTCAGCTGTCCAAAGAGTGAAGTTCGGGCAAAATTCAAATTCTCCATCCTGAATGCTAAGGGAGAAGAAACCAAAGCTATGGGTAAATGTTCTTTTTGTTCAATTCTCACATCCAGTATATTCATAAACTGACTGGTTTTTGATAACCCTAAATATGACTTTTTTTTTTCCCATTCTAGAGAGTCAACGAGCTTATAGGTTTGTGCAAGGGAAGGACTGGGGATTCAAAAAATTCATCCGTAGAGATTTTCTTTTGGATGAGGCTAACGGGCTTCTCCCTGATGACAAGCTTACCCTCTTTTGTGAGGTGAGTCCTTTTACCCTGCTTGAGACTGTCCGTTCCCAGACTTCTTGGGCATTTGTGACTTGAATTGTATCAAGAATGTGGAATGAGAAAAATTCCCAAGTGGAGTAGTACTGTACAAATGTTATTTATGTGACTGGACTGAACTGCCTCATGATTTCAAGGTTGTTGGCATCTCAGCTTTACCCTTGTTACTGTTCATAAGAACAAACATGGTGTGCTGTCTTAGTATACATCAACATTAAGTTGCTTGGGTCAAGATTCTGGCTTTTTCACTGTGGATTTTTAAGATAGCATTTGGAAGGGCTATCATTTCAAGCTGAGGGGGGTGACCAGCAATAAAAGTATGTGTCTGTTCCTTTAACTTCCTGGCTCCTCCTTGAGTGAGAAGTCCCTGTATATTTGACAGTGCATTACTTTCCCTTTCTGCTGTTTGAATTAGGTGACTCCCATTGGGTTGTATGCCTATGGTTTGTCTTGCTGGAGTCACTGTGAAATAGAATAGTGGAAGCCACTTTTCCCAGGGTAAAGCTTGCTTACTCAGAGAGAGCTACCTGTAGTCAGGTAACTTTTTCTCACCAAGAACCTAAGAACCTTTTCAGATTTATAGAGGAACCTGTGAAGTAAAATTCCCAAACCAAGAGAAGCTGGTTTCTTTAATGAGTATTGTTTATTCTAATTAGTCATTTCAAGTTGTTTTCCATATATTCAGAAATGCTCACAAACTCATATTGAACTCCAGTTCAACTAGGACATTAACATTCCTGTGTATCATATGGTCTGGGAACCACTTCCTGAGCAGCACCACTTGATAAGAACAACCACTGTATCTTCATGGGGGAGGGTGCAGGCAAACTCCCAACTGCCAAATCCATCTGTCAAATAAGGGGCTCATACCGTGAGTTAATGACAGTTCCAAAGGCATATCACCACCATGTGTCAGGAAAAGTTATCCCTTAGGAATCTTGCCCTTTTGCCAGAGAAGCCTGGCCAGCAATAGCAGGCTTCTGTATTTCAACAGAATGGTTGCTAATGATTAAAAAACTTTGCAGGCATGGTTTATTAAAATACTACACTGAATACGTAAAATAGAGTTTGTATAATAGCTGCTTCGTCTTCATTTTAATTGCTAAGTAAAAGAAATATTAGAGTGATAGCATCTATATAAATATGTAAAATGTGGCAGTTGTTTTATGACTGAACTTGAAATTTGAATTCCATATAAGGTCCTATTGGTCACAGATCCTACTCAGTTGTCTGAGTGAAGAAATGAGAACAATTAGGTGTGAGGTTAGATGTTATATATACAGAGCATCAGTTTTAATCTTTACCTATCTTAGAGTCTTGTATTTCAAGAAAACTTTAAAATAGTGAAGAAGTCTAATTTTGTTGGAACCAAAAGCCAATCTTCAAAGCATTCTCTGAAGAAAATCTCTACATATTGCATCTGTCATTTAAGGCAGAGCCATCACCTTTATTGCAGCATTTCCAAGTCCACAGTGGATCCAGATCCAGCCTTTTCTCACATTGCTTCCTCCGCTTTCCCCAGTCCATTCCAGCTGCTCCAACCCCTGTATTGACATTCTTGATTTGAAAACCCGTTGGCCTGCCCTCACTTGGCAATCTCTCATCCTATGGTTAAGTCTGAGGCTATGTTCCAGCACTCACTCTCTTCACATCTCCATATGAAATTCTCTTAGGAGAAATCCTGTGGTTAAGTTTAGATTTGCCTTACTGACTTAGAAGGGAAGTGAGATGACACTTTGGAAACGAGGAGATGTTGAACAGGGAAGCGTCTGCTGGGTTCTGCTGATGCCATCGGTTTCTTACCATCGAACCAGGTGTGCCATCTGTTCCTCTCACACTTCTCTGTTGGCCACAGGTGCTGAGTGTTGCTTCTCATACTTGGGCTTGTGCCTAGTGAGACTCGTTTCTGTTCCAAGGCTCTCTGTGGACTTAGTAGCATTCAGCATTGCAAGACGGTTGCGTAGGCGTGTATATTGGATGTGTGGGTTTTAAAAATGTCTGCAACTCATCTAAGTTCTTAGCATTTTTCATAGCTCAATCATTTTTGTTGCAAGTTTTATCCCTTTGACCTGTCATTTACTTTAGGCCTAATTAATATTTTCTTACTATCTAGAGACCTTTATGAAGGTCTGCATGGAAATTTAGATTATAAGTGCCCACTATGAGCCATTCCTCCCTTGGCCCCTGGCCCTCCTGTGCTGTCCTGATGAAGGAAGTGCAGTTGTTTCAAGGACTTTTTGCTGCTCCCAGAGGCCCAAAGAATGAATCCTAAGGTGAAAGACTGAGGATCACACTTTTGTGTACTTGGCCATTATTTTAGTATTTATTGTTACTGAATATTTAAATTAAATTAGATTATAATTAGAAAATGCCAAATGAGTGGTCTTGTTTGTAATGTGCCACATTAGGTTCACTTCCAGTTTTCAGTGATGCTTTGTCTATTAGGAAATGTGGCAATTCTTCCAAGTTGATTTTTCTTAATTAACTTATTTAAAAGCATTATTTGAATTGTCCCCTTATTGCAATCCTTTGAGCTGAGTCAAATTCTGTTTTCTTAATTTCATTTATAGGGGGAGAAGCAGTGTCTCAAGAGGTCAGGTAATTTTTCCTAACATTGTGCAACAAATTAATGTCAGGGCCATGTCAGCTCTGCAGTTCCCATCTCTAGTCGGCTGCACTACGCTAAGTGGAGCTGAACTTCATTTACCTCTGGAAGCATGGGCGCTCCCAAGTTTTCTTGACAGAGAGTATTTACTTTTGGTAATGAAAGAAAGACATGAAAGCATGCTTAAATTACACTTTTTTAGGGCTGGGGATGTGGCTCAAGCGGTAGCGCGCTCGCCTGGCATGCGTGCGGCCCGGGTTCGATCCTCAGCACCACATACAAAACGAAGATGTTGTATCCGCCGATAACTAAAAAAATAAATATTAAAATTTAAAAAATAAATAAATAAATTACACTTTTAATTTTCTCTTTAATAATTTGGACCACAGAAAATCTTCATGAAATTTTTCAGTTCTCTGTCTAGCTATTTATGTTGAAAACAAATGGCTGTTTGCAATAAAGATGCAACATATTCCCCCTTAATTGTACATGCCTTTGACAAACAGAAGATTCTAGTGCCTCTTTGTGATGTTGCAATTAAAAATGAAAAGGAAACACCATTTGAAATATGAAGTACCAAGTATCCAGATACTGGTTAACTCTTTCAAAACATCCCATATAGCAGCTGAGCTTGGTGGCACACACAATCCCAGCTACTCCAGTCTGAGGCAGGAGGATCTCAAATTCTAAGCCAGATTGGGCAACATAGCAAAAGCCTATCACAATATATTTTTTTTTAATTTTTAAAAATCCCATCCATTCCATGATTGTTCTTGAACTACAGAAATGTTGATTTAATATGTAAAATCATTATAGTTTATAATACATGATGATGTAGTAAACCCTACCACCCAACCTCTCCCTGAGATTGATCTCCCTACTCAGAATGAGAAACAGCTATTTTGAATTTTATGATAATCATTCCCTTGTTTATTATTTGTATTCATGAATAATATATTGTTTAGGTTTGGCTTATTTTTGATCTTTATAAAAATGATGTCATACTATATTTATTCATCCTCTTATTGATCGCATTTATGTTGTTGGTAGTCTTTTGCTGTGAGAAATATTGCTACTATATAAACATTTTGTATGCAGTATCTGTTTATTTTTCCAATTCTTTTAATTGTATAGAATTTAAAAAACCTATTTCCATGGGTTTTACTTTGACTTTATGTATAGATGAAGTGTATAAGAATTGGCACATCTTTAGTCTTTTATGAAATTTTCTTTTTTAAGAAAAGGAACTGACTTTAAAAGTGAGACCCTTTTACAACTTGAAATTTAGGGGATCATACAGTCTTCCTGAGACATTTTCATGCATTCATTTATAAGACGACATAAATGTCACAGTCACGTCATCTTCACAGCTGCAATTCTGAATGAGTCTCTATAGTCAACTTTATAGGCATTAAAAAAAGTCTTTAGTTTTTCTCAAAATGGTCTCATTTTAGCATCATCATGTTTGCAGAGAAAAACAATTCCTTTCTAAGTTAAAAGTTTGGGCTCTGACGACTCATTTGTGAGTGCCATTTAAAATTTATTTTTAATTAAGCGTATTTAATGTCGGTAAGAGGTGCCAGACATTCAGAGCTCTGGAGACTCCAAGCATCTGTATATCTACAGAACAAGCCTAGCCCAGACAGTACAGGTACATTCTCCTTCCTGCTGTTTTTTTTTTTTTTCTTTCTGTGTCCAGAGAAAGGAATTGTTCCAGTGAGAGGTGTCACAGTCTTTGGGCCCCACTCATTACCAAACATATATCTAACCAAGAACATCCAACCATAGTTGATGAGAAATTCAGCTTAGCTTTTGCCAATTCATTTTACCCAGTCTACTAAATTGCCATCAAGTGTTAATGACTTTGGGCTCCTGTCAGCCTGGTTTAATTCAAGCTAGGAACACAGTGCTAAAAGCATTCTCCATTCCCTTCATTGGCCATCCCCAGAGATTCCTGCCTTTCCCTCTGAGGAAGTTGTATTTAATTTGTCTTTCCTTTTCCTTTTCCTTTTTTTTTTTTTTTTTTTGGTTTTGTTTTGTTATAAATCAGTATTTTAGATCCATGACTGGGAATAGGCAACTTCTACTTTTGGTGTTAATAATATGAGAAAATAGCTGAACTAAGAAATCTTACATAGGACAAGAGAGAATCTCTGTGGGGTGATTTGTGCTGGATCCCAGACTGTTAAAATAATGTTATAATCTACCTCTGATAAATGTGATACTAATGCTAAACACATTCATAACTGATTAATTTGACCATTTCATTGCTCAAGACCATAACATCTAGTTTTAAACAAATGAATAATAACTTTCTCGACTTGATAGTAAATATCTCACTCTGGGAACGCATCTATGCTCATCAGTATATCATCAATGCACTTTAATATCTCACTTGATATAGAAGGGACTAAGGTCATTTGGATGGGGCATTAACTTTGCCTCCAGGTTTATGACTGTGACTAAGGGATGACTTTCATCTTGAAGGTTAAAAAAAATCTGGGTCATTAAGGATGTTCCTCAGCTGTCTTTCTCATCTGACCATTAGAAATAGCAGTAGTTGGGAGCTAATTCTCAAGGTTTGCAAGTTCTGTTTAGATTTAACTTTTTAACCCTAATGTGATGTAGGAGACAGAGCATGACAATCATTGTTAGGTGGATGACTGCTGTGCAGCATCTTTTCTTTTCTTTGGTAACTGACATTTATTTTATAATGTTATGTGATTTATTAACTCCTTAATTTGGTACCCCCACAGATTTTTCTGAATTTCACTGATTGAACTAGAAGTTGGCTTGGTTTCTACCTAGGCCTGAACAGTTAATTCAGCTGGATAAAACTGCTACCACTGAAGTCATGGTGGGAAGTTGGATCCCTCTGTGAAAGTGGAGTTGAGTTGTCATTCTATTCCAAAGCTATAAGTGCATGTATAGCTATGGCCAGCCATCGTGTATGTCATTGTCTCAAATGACTGAATATAGAGATGTTAAAATGTGGGATATGCACCCATTTATTCCTACCAGAAAGATCTTCTAAGACCTGTCCTTACTGGTAGTGGGTCAGCAATGTTGATTAAACTATCATTTTTGAGGAAGTACCAGTTAATCACTAGGCCCCTTAGAAACTGCACTTCAGCTGGGTGTAATGGTACATGCCTATAATTCCAGAAACTAAGGAGGCTGAGGTAGGAGGATCACAAGTTCAAGGCCAGCACTTAGCAAGACCCTCAATAACTTAGACCTTGTCTCAATAAAATAAAATAAAACAAAATAAAAAAATAAAAAGGACTGGGATTGTAGCTCAACGGTAAAAGCACCCCTGGGTTCAATTCCCAACAGCCCCAGAAAAGAAGCTGCACTTTATTTTCATGTTCCAGACTTAACTAAAAAAAATGAAGTACCTTTAGATTTAAGTTACTAGATTCTTGGGCTGGGGTTGTAGCTTAGTGATTGAGCTCTTGCCTAGCATGTGTGAGGCACTGGGTTTGATTTATAAATAAATAAAATAAAGGTCCATCAACAACTAAAAAAATATTTTTTTAAAAAAGTTACTAGGTTTTTTTCTCTATAGTGTTTTAAGTGTTAGTTTCTATATGAATTCCTTGTATTTAATGTTTTGTCTATGACAGGATTAAATAAATACTTGAAGTTTAACATTTATTTCTGTCAGTTTTTCCCCCTGGAAGCTTTGCCCAGGTTTGAGTGCAGGGGAGGTGGAGCATATTAGAAATTGGAGAAGGAGATTTGTGGGGCTCTCTTGCCATTGCCCTGAGATGGTTTAAAATAAGTATGATTGTGATAAATAGAAAATTACTTGATCAGAGGATAAAGCCTTGCTTTGTGCAGGTGGTTTCAAGAGACTATGACTGAATGTTCTATGGCAATGAGGTCAAAACCTGTCTCTACTGCTGGAAAGAAAATACCTGGTAACAAAAACCTTGGATTGTGTTTTCTTGTATTTCACAGGTGAGTGTGGTACAAGATTCCGTAAACATTTCTGGCCAGAATACCATGAATATGGTGAAGGTTCCTGAATGCCGGTTGGCAGATGAGTTAGGAGGGCTGTGGGAGAATTCCCGGTTCACAGACTGCTGCCTGTGTGTTGCTGGCCAAGAGTTCCAGGCTCACAAAGCTATCTTAGCAGGTAGGTATTTATTTATGGGTTGTTTTATAGTTTTGGTGAAATAAACAGTGACTGCGTAATCTCCTTTTGAACAACTTCAACTTTTTAAACTGAGCTACAAAAAGACCTGCAGATAAATACACTTTTATATTATGACATTAGCTCTCATAACCAAAAGACTGATATCCATAAAAAAATGGCATTTCTGTTTTTCCTCTCTGTAGTGGACTTAGGCCACCATTTTCAAGGAGTAAAAAATGATGTGCAAAGGTTTTGAATGCATTCGCACCAAGAGTAGTGTCAGGATACTTGTTAGGAGCTGGTATCAGCTCCTAGATAGGGTTCAGATATAAAAGAGAGGATTTTGTACTCAGGATAAATACCATCTGGCTGAGTCCCAATCCTAGAGGGCCTAGCCCTCACTTTGATATAAACATATGAGAGTGACGTGATTGTCCCTGACACGGAGGGTCAAGTCTCCATCTAATAGGTCTTTTGCCTGTAAGACAAGAAACACTGACCCAAAAGAGGAACTGACCAGAGAGGACTGATTTCACCACACAAGAAAGAGTAGCAGACAGCCACACACATTTCTCTTCAGATCATAAGATCTGTGAGGAGATAACATGAATTTTAAGGCAAAATGCTTCTTAGGATACTCAGCTTCCTCGTTCTAAAGTACAAACCTGGCAAAGCATAATCTACCTAGTCTAACATCTTCCCATTCCCTGTTTCTACTCGACATCTACTAACATTAAAAAATGTTGTTAACTCTTAGGTTAGTAACATATCTGTATGCCTAGCAAGGCCCTCAACACTGCCAAAATGTCTTTCTATAGATGCAGAATTTGTTCCCTTTATTTCTTTCAACAATAGATATTTTAGCCACTCTCCTTTAGCCTCCAGCTCCTGTAAGATGTCCTTGCCTACTTCTTCCAAGAGAATATTGAAACCCTTTTACAGGAACACCCTTGACTCTTGCCTCTCGCCTACATTCTCAGGGGCAGAGGAGTTCCGCTTCAGGTGGAGAGCAGACTGTTTCTTTCTACTTCTTCTCTGTTCAGATCCTATTTTGCCTTCCCAGAAACCTTACTCTAGCAGTTATTCATATATATATATTCTCATTCTCTCCCCCCACCCCAAAGCTGAATTTCTTGAGTTAGCACATCCATTCTCTACTTCATTCTTCCCGCTTATCCTCAGTTCACCTCCAGGCTATGAAAGCAGTTTTCCAAAGTTATATGTATGACCTGCTTGTTCCTAAATTTGAGAGACTCTTCAGTTCATATATTACATGATTCCTTTCTTTGGTTTTCTTCTTCTGGTTTTCTAGCTGCTTCTAATGTGTGACCTCCCTCTTTTTCAACCATTCCATCAAATATTGGTGAGGTTTAAAGGTGTGCTTCAGTTAGTTTTTACTTGACTCTCCTTGGATGATTTTATGTATTCCCATCGCTTGAGCTGCTGTCTGCCTACGCTAAGACATAGCTACTGCTATGGACCCCTCTCTGTTTTTTAAAATCATTAGTTCTTTAATCTTCAACTGTAATGTTTATTAGTACCTGGAGTCTATAAGTCTTCTGATAAGAACAGTGAGAATTGCTGTGTTTTTGGTATAGATTAAAATATTGAGGTTCAGAGCGTTAAGTGATTTCCCTAGAAAATGGTGAAGGCTATACATCCTGGGAACAAATTTTTACCCCTCACACATCAGATAGAGCTCTAATCTCTAAGGTATATAAAGAGCTCAACAAGATAAGCATCCCCAAAAAAATGATAATCCAATCAATAAATGGGCCAAAGATCTGAGCAGACACTTCTCAGAAGAGGATATACAGTCAATCAACAAATATACGAAAAAATCCTCATCATCTCTAGCAATCAGAGAAATGCAAATTAAAACTACTCCAAGATACCATCTCATTCCAGTAAGAGTGGCAGCCATTATGAAGACAAACAACAACAACAAGTGCTGGCGAGTATGTGGGGAAAAGGGTATACTCATACACTGCTGATAGGACTGCAAATTGGTACAGCCAATTTGGAAAGCAGTATGGAGATTCCTTGGAAAACTGGGAATGGAACCACCATTTGACCCAGCTATTCTTCTTCTCGGACTATACCCAAAGGACCTAAAAATAGTGTATTACAGGTACACAGCCACATCAATGTTTATAGCAGCACGATTCACAATAGCTAAACTGTGGGACCAACCTAGATGTCCTTCAGTGGATGAATGGATTAAAAAATGTGGCATTTATACACAATGGAATATTACTTAGCAATAAAAAAGAATAAGATCATGGCATTTGCAGGGAAATGGATGGCATTAGAGAAGATTATGCTAAGTGAAGTTAGCCAATCCCAAAATCAAATGCCGAATGTCTTCTCTGATATAAGGGGGGTGACTCAAAATGGGGTTGGGAGGGAGAGCAAGGAGGAAGATTACCTCTAGATAGGGAATAGAGGTGGGAGGGAAAGGAAGGGAGAAGGGGAATAGCATGGATGGTGAAAGGAGACCCTCATCATTATACAAGATACATGTATGAAGATGTGAATTTGGTGTCAATATACCTTACATATAATCAGAGATATGATAAATTATGGTCTAATGATGTATTAAGAATTGTAATACAAAAATAAATAAATAAGAAAATGATCAGAAATGTTTTGAGGCCAAAAGTAAAAAAAAGAAAGAAAGAAAATGGTGAAAGCTAAAATTAGTTCTTCCTGACAAAAACTGTAGACCAAAAGTTCCCGTTCCCTGCTAGCTCAAAGGCCTCCTACATGAGCCATCTGTTCTTTCACTCTTAAGTAGTGATTGGTAGTCTCAACTTTGACCCATACCCCCAGTTGATTTGGAAACATGAAAATTTTGGGTTCTTAGCCATTTTATCATTGAAATTAAATTTATTTTTCATGCTGTTCATTAAACTAGAATGTGCATGGGGTAGAGAATTGTTTTTCAACCTCTTTCATTAACCCTACTCCTAAGGAGAAAAACTAAATTTAAATTCTCCCTAATGAGAGAAATTAAATATGAAAAAAAAGGTCATTTTATCAGGTAGAGTAAGCTTTTGAAGGGCCATGAACCACTGTGCTATATGAAGCTTTTTTTTTTTTTTAACTTCTTTTGAATGGGGGATATCTCTGTTAAGAATGCATAGCTTGGAAGAAGACATAAATGAACATGTACTTCATCTGGTTGGTGCATGCTACTGAGCCCAGCTCTTGACTTTCTTGCTGTGTGGTCCCTAGAAGTAGAGAAAAGTACAGAGTCATTGTTTTAGTCCAAAACCTAGGTGTGGGACTGCCTGTTGGACCATGAGGGACCTTCCATTTGTACCCTCCAGATCTGTACAAAGGACATAGCATTGTCATCCAACAAAAGTAACTGTGGAATAATTTCCTTAAAATATGGATGTTTGGAATATTAAGAAAGAAATTTTATAATTATGAAGAAAGGTATTTTATAATTCTGGTATAATTTGAGGCTGAGTCCCTTTTCTATAGTAATGGAACCAGAAGGAAAATGATCTCTTGTCATAACTGGAGAGAACCAAGAAATTTTCATGGGATAACTTATATTTGTTCCCCTTTCACTTTGTAGCACGTTCTCCAGTTTTTAGTGCCATGTTTGAACATGAAATGGAGGAGAGCAAAAAGGTATGTTAACAGGACGGAAAAGTATGTTATCCAGGTGATTTATTTTCCTATATACATTTTTTTCTTGCTATTTTATTAAAATGGAACACAACTCCCTGAACAGACACCTTCTGAGAGCAGAGTGAGGTGGTCTGTTAGTATTCCAGGTAAAGTGGACTCATTTAATCCCCAGGCAGATCATGTAAACAGTTTTGGGTGAGGTGTGTTTCTACTCATAGTACTCAGGAAAATCAAGGTGGAAAGTCAAAGATACAGTTGTTTTACTACTGTATTTGAGAAAGCAAAGGTGGTACACAGGATGGGAGAAAAACTATTACAGTTGTAGGACAGGGAGACATTTTCTGTTCATGCTAGGTTTAAAATGATACAAGAGTCTCTCTTCAGTAAAGTTTAAAATCATGAAAATAGTCTAGGAAATTTTTTCTGTTGGAGTGTTTCTCATTTTCTATTTTTCTGACATAGAATCGGGTTGAAATCAATGATGTGGAGCCTGAAGTTTTTAAGGAAATGATGTGCTTCATTTACACGGGGAAGGCTCCAAATCTCGACAAAATGGCTGATGATCTTTTGGCAGCTGCTGACAAGGTGAGATAAGAATAGAAAAATGACTATAGGACTTAGGAATTATTGTGACCTGTTGAGTTCTGTAAATAGGCTTCTGTGTTGCACTGTGGGTAAAATAGACATCTATCCTAGCTTGGCCAGGACAATCTGGTTTATATATGTTTCTTCAAGGCAATTAATAGTATCCTTTTTGTTCTCAAACGCATACTGCCTTGAATGGTGAACTGTAGGGTCACCTCAGCCTACAGAAAAGAAGGATAAGTACAAGATTTACCTCTCTTCTTTTCCCTACCTCAAATTTCAACCGCATTGAGAGTTATGTTTCATACTAACATTTGAACTGTGCTTTATAATTTACAAGATGTTTTACAATTCATTGTTATTTAAACTTTGTCAATGAGAAAATAGTCGTTCACTGTTGAGCATTTTCAGCTTAGTTAAGTAGGTATTATATTGAAGGTATATTGAAGTATACCTTCAAAATTATAAGACAGTTAATAGCTTTTGGGGACAAAAGAGATACTGAACTTATCTAAATCAGATAGTTTCCATTTTGCTGTAGGATTTCTCAGAACCTGTGACGTGTTAGTGTATACTACAAATTTTCTGAAAAAGAGTATGATAGACAGCATTTCTCCAGTTTAGTTAGCCCTGTCTCAATGGTCACCTCCGAGGATTAGTGGTCCCTAAAACATACCGAGAAGCTGATTTTCACTGGGTGTGTACATCAGATGAAGCTCAGTGGCTGGCCGGCCCACCCAGGCCCTGGATACTGTGGAAATGCCACCTATAGGGCAAAGCAGAAGGATCAATATTTGCCCTGTGGAAGCTTCTCTTGTGTAGAGGGTAGAAGTGGTTGATGTGACTGAGCTAAAAGGGCTTCTGACCCCAACAGAGAAAGAGGGTGTTCTGTCTGGATTGCCCCTCTTCCTGCTGTGAGTCTACAACACCCGTCTGAGGGGGAAGTGGGCTTCAGCTGAAGGGTCCAAGAGCTTTCCCAAGATTCATTCAGGGAGATAATGTTCCTTTACACCTGAGGACAAAGGAAGGTGCCTGGGTTTTCAGTGGAGGTTTTCTCTTTATTGATCAGCTTTTTTGAAATGTTTATAGAGGGTGAGGCATGTGGATCCAGTCAATGCTCCTGATAAGAGATTGGAATAATAACTGTATCCTTCTTATCACCTCTGAAGATTTTATTAGTACAATTAGCAATGTAAAAATTACAAACTCTTCAAGTATACCTCAGTTCTGACCAGGGAAAACTTGCTTTCAATGGAGACAGCAAAATTATATTCATTGCCAGTTCTGGAAAGGTAGAAGACACAGCCCAATATCTGCTTTTCATAAAGTTTGTATGGATCTACCTTAGCTGTTCTGTGGTTTTCAGTAAAGTAGTCACTTGTGCTTATATACATCAAGTATTTTTTCACCTCATCTTCAATATCCTGTTAAGGATGAGTAGTATTGCAAGGCCCGCTTTTTAGGTTTTTTTTTTTTCATGTACTGGGGATCAAGCCCAGTGCCTCATGCATGCGAGGCAAGCACTCTACCGCTGAGCCACAACCCTAGCCCACAAGGCCCCACTTTTTAGACAGAAATACAGAGGCTCACAGTTGTACATCCTTTAGAGCCAAGGTTAAACTTCTGTGTCCCTCAAGTTTTGGTTCTTATTCCTCAGCCATAAGCCCTACTGTCCGCTTACTCTAAACACCCAGAGCAGGGAGATCAGTCTGAACTTCCCAGCAAAGGATGATATTTCCAAGAAAACATATTTTTAAAAGAAAAAGCAGTTGAATCACAAATGTGTGAATGAGAAATAACTGAAGGGTGTATTTTTAAATTCCATTCAGAATTTCCCATTAAGATGGCCTTCACTCTGATCCTACTTGAAAGTATTTTTACCTTTACACATCCCTATGAGTTTTAGGAAAGCAGAGGTAAGAAATCTTTCATGGAAGGATCTAAACATCTAGAATTTACCCAAGAGGCTGAAACAGCTTCTTCTGAGCTTTTTCAGTCTCCTGGGGACATGTGTAATTAGACCAAAAACAAAACAAAACACGTTGGCCAGGCCTGGGAGACACAATTTCAATCTCCCGGGTAAGTACTACCATTAGGCAGGTTTTTCAGAAGCATAATTAAGAAAAAAACTTTGTCCCCCAAGGGACAAGAATGGCTACTTTTGTCTAATTATGCAGTAGGGATCAGAGCTATTCACAGTGAAAGTCCTTTTAAAAGAATGTATTAGAAAGGATAAGAGGAGTAGTCCCTGCAGCACTGTATAAAGACTGAACGTTTACTCAACCTTTTCCAGCCTTTTAAAACAAAAACAGCAGCCTCATTTCTTGCTTGTCTACTATCATTCCCATTTTCCATGGAAACTGTTTTTCAGTTACTCAAATGTAAAAAATTAAAGTTGCACCAAAACCAATAAAACTCTTCTTGCTGCAGGAGATCAGAGTGCCAGCAGATATGCCTCCTCACCCAGAATTCATAACAATAAAAATTGTCCTGATTTGATTGCCAGGATTCAGCCTGGAGGGGCATCATGTCATTGAGTTCTAAGGCCCTCAAGATGGGACCTGTAAGGAGACTGGATAGCCTCAAAGCAAAACCATTCTCCTGTGAACCGATTAATGACATTTTATTTTGTGACGCCTTTTATTTCTTTCCTCTTTCATTTCCCTGAAGTTCCTTAGTAAGTTCATAATCTCATATTAGAGAGTAAGTAGTAGAGTTCCATCAAACCCAATCAGCTAGATCAAATGTGCCCCAGCATTAACCTAGACCTTCCATTTCCAGAACATTTATGTCCTTTGCTTAGAAGATAGAAGTTTTTGAACTGAAAGTGGATCCAGGGTCTCTGCTGCTTTGTTCTTTTACCCTGAGAATCTTAACCTCAACCCCAATAAAATGGGACTTCATTCATCCTTTCCTATTGAAAAGAAGGAGGCCCTTGGATGACCCTCATTCAAGATCAACTAGTGGCTGAGATGCTGGTGAAAGTCACCATGGGGCTCCTTTTCACTGCCTGATGGGCCAGTTGGGAGATCCTGCCGAGCGAGGTAGTGACAATGCTTAAGTAGAAGGGACTGTGCTTCACTCTAGTCAGCTCTAAATAAAAGGATTGCAGGAAGCTTAATGTTCCTGTTGGCTTGCAGCATTAATGCCCTTTGTAAGCTAGGTGGCAATGGTTGAAGAAAGACTTTAAACATAGTCAGCAGATACAGTATAACTTTAGGATTCTGTCATTGCCTATTTTTTCCTAACAGGTAGACTTTAGAATTTGAATGGCAGCTGCTCAAGTTACTTTAGCTGTCTTCATTTCAAGTTTAAACAACTAACCTTTAGAGTATGGTTATGTTTTATAATTGCTATTGTAGCTTTTCATGCTCTGTGTAATTCTGTTCAGGTCTCTGGTTATACAGCAGTACTGCTAAAGAAAACAACTTCAGTAGCAGTCAGCCCAGAGCTATTATTGCTCTGACGACAGTAGTGCTTGTGTTTTACAGTATGCCCTGGAGCGTTTGAAGGTCATGTGTGAGGATGCCCTCTGCAGTAACCTCTCAGTGGAAAATGCCGCAGAAATTCTCATCCTGGCTGACCTCCACAGCGCAGATCAGTTGAAAACTCAGGCAGTGGATTTCATCAACTAGTGAGTTGGCATCTTCAAAGTTCCTCTTTCAGAATAATTGGGATAGCTAAAGAAATGAGAAAGACTTTGAATTAGTGAGTAAAATAGGCAAGTAGCTTCGTTAACCTTTTTGGTAGTAAGTATAGAGTTCTCATCTTTTCCTTCAGCTTTATAATGTGGAAAAATAGTTTGCTTTCATGGATTGAATCCTATTGGTAAGTTAAGTGTTTTACTTCGAAATACTGAATGGAATTGATGAAAATGATCATTTGCTTCCTGAAAAGCTGTGTGCCCACAGATGATAGCATCTTTACTTCACCTTCACTGACTTAATAAAAGACATAGATTTCTGGGAGAATAGAAGCATATTTTTTAATGAATTAGTAAAATGTATCTATTGTGGAATGGGAAAAAGAGAAGGGATGATCGGTGGCTGAGACGTAAATATTCTGTTTGGAGAAACATTCAACTAGATGTGTTTTTTTTTTTATTCTAAGTGACAGGTGACCTGGCCATAGTGCTTTTGAAAAACTTCAAAGGGGCCACAAGAAGTAGTGACTGCAGCCTGTCTTCTCAGAGGGGAAAATTCTATTCCCTTGCCTGATGGGAAGCAAAGTTAGGGTGGGGAGGCCCTCATAACAGTAGCTCTGGGGTGGGACAGGTCAGAGACATTCCAGGTAGATGAACAAACAATATTTAAAATTTAAAAATGCCCAAATAAAGGAAGTAAGGTCCTCTAGGTGTAGTTTTTGTGTGTGTGCTGGGGATTCAACCCAGGAGCACTTAACCACTGAACCACATCCCCAGCCCTTTTTTGTATTTTATTTAAAGACAGAGTCTTACTGAGTTGCTTAGGGTTTCACAGTGGCTGAGGCTAGTTTTAAACTCTTGATCCTCCTGCCTCAGCCTCTCAAGCTGCTGGAATTACAGGCATGTGCCACCATACCCAGCATAAGATTATTTCTAAGTGGGAGGGAGGAAACCAATAAATGTTAGTACTATTGAGTGTTCACTATGTACTAGATTCACTATGTACTAGGTGTTTTTTAATAAATTAATTCAACCGTTGAATGAAAAGTGGTTTATTATTCTCTCTTTTTTGACAAATAGGTAGGCTCCAAACTATGATCTGCCCTGAGGTTACAGACCAGCCAGGTGGACGCTCAGAGCTGTCTGTCTGAGGCAACCCTTGCTTCTCTCCTTATTAACGTCATTAGTGAATGTGAAGAACATTGACAAAGTTAAGAAGAGCTAAATTCCACTTTTTTTTTTTTGATAGTATAGTGGCTCAAAGTCTTGGTATTCAGAATCACAATAGCCACAGTCTGGTCACCAGTCTGCCACTGTCTACCAAGCAAAGTCTTTCATTAATACCCTTTACACCAAACCTTGGAAAATTAGGCTGTTTAGGTGGCTGTTCATCTGTCTTGTGCTCACTTCCTTTGATAATCCCTCTCTCTCTGCATTTCTCTTAGTCATGCTTCAGATGTCTTGGAGACCTCTGGATGGAAGTCAATGGTAGTGTCACATCCCCACTTGGTGGCTGAAGCATATCGCTCTCTGGCTTCAGCACAGTGCCCTTTCCTGGGACCTCCCCGCAAACGCCTGAAGCAATCCTAAGATCCTGCCTTTTGCAAGACTCCAGATTTTCCAGAAGCAGCAGCCCCTGTTGCTGCCACTGACCACCAGGTAGACAGCGCAATCTGTGGAGCTTTACTCTGTTGTGGGGAAGAGACTGCATCGTGGCCCCAGACTTTTGAAACAGCACTAAATAACTTGGGGAAGCCGGGGGGAGGGAAAGGCCCAGGACTCGGGGCTACTCAACCTAATGAAAACCCTGTTGCTGCGTCACCGTGTTCCCTTTGGCTTGACCAAGTCTGACTCTGGGATTCAGTTTAGGTGCTGGCCCTGAGCACATCCCAGTCGTGGTACTTCGGAGAAACCTGCCTGCATCTGACTGAGCAGAACAAATTGTCAGGTGCCTGGAGCAAAAAGGAAAAAGAAGAAAGGAAAAAAAAAAAAGGACATTTAGTTTTAAGAGAAGGGAAAAGGAAAGAAGAGTTTTTGCAGAATTTTTCAAAATCAGTTTGTGAATTCTAATAGTATTTATGTTGAGAGAAGCAAATTTTAGTCCTTCCAACTGTGCTGAAGCTTGGATGTTTGTGAAAACTCCTCACCACCACACAAGTATCAGAAGAGCTCTCTCGTTAGCACTTATTTTTTGCAAGAACAGAATACATCCTTTTATCCTCTTATGAAAGTGACAAGCAAAGGCAAAAGGGGAAGAGGTTATTTGATCTGGAAGATAAGTGTTCTGATGATAGTGGCTTTTGCAAAAATCTTTATTGGTGTTGAAAACTGGAAAAAAAAATTCATCCAGAATTCATGCTGTCTTGACAAGAACTATGGTTCTCTGTTTTTAGATATTGTGGAAAATGTTTTTTGGCATTTTTCTCTGATTTTATTTCTCTTCCCTCCCCCTTCCCTTTTTTCTAAAAAACAAAAACAAAAAAAACACAAGAAATCTGAAAACACACAAAACAAAAACAACAAAAAGAAGAGAAGAAAAAAGGAAATTTTATTATTAATGCTGTGTGAAAAAAGTCCCAGCACAGATTGCTCAGCTGTTTGTACCTGACTTGCCACCTGCATAGGAGCCAGTCCTGTTCCTCCTTCTTAGCCCTCTTCCTACAGGGGAGAACTTCCAAATGTTAATTTTTTCTTTTTGAAAATATAAATAATTACTATTTTGTACTGTGTGGTATCTCTGGTCTTTTGTTTTCACTCACCTGGCTTGTCTCTTGAGTCTGAGTTCCTTGCTTAAAGGATTTTGAAGGCCTAGTTTGATCGTTCATCTTGCAGGGATTATGTTTGAAATGTCTAATAAGCAGAAGGGATTTATTTATTTTTATAATCTCAGGTTTCCATTGTGAGCTATCAGCATCTGCCAATCTTTTGTTCTTGAGTATTGAGAGTCCATATCCTAATGAAGGACCAGGCCCCTACCTCTGCCAAGGCAAGTGATTGTACTGGGCTTTTCTGCATCCTGTATGTTTTAAGACTTAATCCCCAATCTCTTTTCTCCTAACTAAATATTAAAAGATCCAGGGGACACAAATGTGGAGATCAAATAAAGGGAAATTATTGTCTCTTACTGGTCCTGTCATTGACTTGATGTGTTTCCAGAAAAATTGCCTTAACTCCAGTGAGCTCACAAGAATATTCTAGGGTTCCCTGTTAGCCTGCTTCATAGCACTGTTAGGACAAGCAGGATACACGGGAAAATGAATTGGCTGTTCTGCCAAGGTTTTTTTTTTTTTTTAGTTTCAATGGAGCTTCAACCTATTTAATTTAACATTTCCTTTTGGTGAACTTTAGCCTTTACAAATTTAATTTTCTACTTAGGGTTATGGCTCAATGGTAGAGTTCTTGCCTGGCACAGGTTCGATCCTCAGCACCACATAAAAAATAAATAAATACAATAAAGGTATTGTGTCCATCTACAACTAAAAAAAAAATATTAAAAAGACAAAACATGCATTGCACTTCCCAGGTTCCTCCCTAGGTAACAACCTGTGTAAGGAAATGCCAAGTTCTCTGTGTGCTAACTGTTGTCCTGTGCCGGCTCAGCCCTGCTTTCCAGATCAGCACTCAGACCCTGAGATCAGGGCAGTTGCAGTCTCCTCTACCTATGTTGTCTCTCAGATAACTGCACTTGCTCTCTGCATTTCTCAGTTCTCAGTAAACCTTCATCTACAGTATCTCATTTGAACTTCCCAACCACTTGATGAGTTTGGTTGGGCAGGTGATAGATCGCCTCTTCCATTCTATAGCTGGAAGAAGGTGAAACCCAGGGAAGGAACATGCCTAAGGTCACGCAACTATTGAGTGCCAGATCTTCTAATGTCACATCCTGAAGATTACGTAATGAACTGCAGGAAGTTCCATTTCTGGAATGTTAGGTACAAAATTGGAAGTAAGGCTTGCTTCCTCTGGGAATAGCAAGAACAAAGCTTTGGAAAGGTGCCTCTACTGGCCTGTTCTTCAGAGGTTCCAGGAGGTCAAATCAGATTTCTTTCTCTTCATTCACAGAAAGCTCTTGGTGGGGGACTGGTGGGTTTGGGAAGGTATCCTCCGGGGGGTAACAGTCCTAGCACCTAGTTTCTGGTAGGGTGAAATTCTCTTCTGGGATCTTGAATATTTATGGAATTTCCAATGTGGACTCTACTATGAGTGTAAAGCTATGAGTATTTCAGGCCAGGTGAAACTGTGTAGTGCTTCTCCCGTGATATTATTTCTGGACATGTTTGTTTTTGTTTTAAATGATACAGTTGAAGCCATCTGGTTATGACAACATCAGAGTCCCAGCATACTGTTCATAAACCTCCCACTGCCACCACCCCTTCCCTTAGCTCCCCCACATCTGAAATTTAATTCAAGTTAACTCCACAATCTGGGGCATGTGCTGTCACTGCAGAGATGTCCGTGCCAGTGGAACAGTTGGAGATTTCAATTCCACAAGGATATGGCTTATTTATCAAAACAGTATTTCAGGCAAGTAGTTTCACAGAACCTTTGGAGTTGCATTTTTGGGTCCAAATAGAGTATCTGGCATCATCGCCGTCTCCCCTCCTCCCCTATTATCAGTCCCCCTATATATGTGGCCATCCATGGCAAAACTTTTCCCATTCCTTGTGTAGATATTAAACCTTTCTGTGTTGTAATTAGGCGGCTCAGATGCCTGTATAGGTTTTGACAGTTTGGGTAAGAGATGCCCCCCTTTTCCTTTTCACTGTAAGGCTGCTGGTCTTTTAGCTTTTAAAGAACTGCTGTTGCTGCTGCATTTTTTTTTTTTTTAATTCCAGCCAAGGACATGAAGCTCTTCTTAGACTAGATCTCTGGCTTGTCCACTCTGTGCTTTCCCTTTAAAATATAGCTTAAACCTGTTGTGAGATCTCCATATTGTATGAGTCTGTGCAAACGAAAGGAAACAGCTTGTATGTTTATGAGCAGAAAAACAAATAGAGGGGGAGTGGAACTGCACTTTGAAACTGACTGTTGCTTTGTTCTGGCCCTTCAACTCCTATAAAAGGAACAACTGAATTCCCCCAACATGGCTGCATTGGATCCTTTGGTTTATCTTTGTCAAAGACAAATTCTTGGCTAGAGCCCAACCTTATTTTCCACAACTAATTATCTTTTTAATCAGCCTGGACCCTGTGTGTTTCCTTTGTCTCATGACTTTTCGCTGAACTCTGCCCTCCATCATTTGGATTCATTTCTGATGACTTGCTGACTAATCTAACATTCAGGTGAGTAGCATTGGGCTGCTCTTTATGTATGTGTGCATGCAAGGTAGATGTGCTTTTCCCTTTTAATTTCGGAGGTGACTGTGCCGCTGTAGATCCTTTGACCCAATAGGTGGACACCTTGTGGAGACAGTAAGCAAGAAAGCAGATGTAGGATGATCAGTCTCTGGGATAATGAGCTGGGAGAACCAGAAGCTCTGACCTCCAAACGAGAACAGAAACTTGAATGTTGTTGACTGATGGGATCTCTACGCCACCAAGCCATTAACAAGATGATCGCGCCCCCTCTGTAAATCCCGTAATGCTAGAGTAGAAAGTGACATCTGGAATGCTGTTTGGTGCTGATTTCTGCAGCTCTGAGAAAAAAAATTAAAAAATTTAGACTTGAGGGAATTCAATACAAGCAAGAGAAATGATTAAGGAGTTGAAGTGGATCAACTCTAGGGGAAAAATAGTATGAAGATAAAGTATCTTCATGTGACTTCAGTATGGGATGTAGCACCAGTACCTGCAGTTGACAGATGTCACAGGCATTTTGAACACTTGAGGGCTTGTCTCATACAGCTCCCCTTCATTCCATTTGTGTGGCTTGGGGAGGTGGTACTGTGAATTCCTCAAGGTCACTCAGCCTGGCTCAGAGCCAAGAAATAACAGAAGGCAAAGGAATTGTAGGCCCAGGGAGCAAAAAGAAGGTGAAAATCCAAGAGCTTTCCTGGCATTGACCTGGACTGGTCCACTAGTAATGCTCAGTTGAAATGGGGAGAGTTTTAACCTCTCAAAACCTTTAAAGGTGAGCTCTTCACAAACAAGGAGAAGGAGGAGCCTCATCTTGTTCACTTCCTGTTCATGTAAACAGACATACAGGGAACTGGGGTGACATACTCAAGGTCACAGATTAAAACTCAGGCCACTGATTGAGCAATTGCGGAGCACTTAGAAGACCCCAGACATTGTCCAAGATTGAGCCTAGGACAGAGGATAGGATTTCTGTTCAACTAACTAATGGAGATGGCAGAAATAAACCAGAAAAGCCACAGAACTGACAGCTGGGAAGAAGCTGTTGAACTTAGCAGTACTCAGTCATTGGTTACTTTAGAGTAGTATCGATCAAATGATAGGGGGAGAATACAAGAATGTGGAGGAAAGCAAACAAATTGAGTAAAAGCTTAGAAATTTGGCGGGGAGAGAGGAAGGGAACCTCTCCAACTTTTAAGGATTTATATATCTAGTCAGTCAATACATTTGTTATTGTCTAGCAATAATGGTGTACAGATTGTTCCATAAATTATGGACACTTTTAATAACTGATACTTGTAGTGAGACTACAAACTCAGTTTATGGAATAATTACATAAGCATGACTATAATCATGAGAAAGAAAACAATCAGGGGCTGGGATTGTGGCTCAGAGGTAAAGTGCTCACCTAGCATGTGTGAGGCATTGGGTTCAATCCTCAGCACCACATGAAAATAAAATATATTGTGTCCACCTATAACTAAAAAAATAAATATTAAGAAAAAATAACTTCAACCCTTACACTATTTTTTTAATGTTTTTCTTGTAGTTGTCAATGGATTTTTATTTATGTGCGGTGCTGAGAATCGAACCCAGTGCCTCAAACATTCTAGGCAAGCACTCTACCACTAAGCCACCATCCCAGCCCCACCCCAGCCCCACCCCAGCCCCACAGCCCTTACACTACTATTTTGAGAATGGTTTTTGTAAAGACACATTTCTGTCCTTCTTTAACCTATCTACTTTTTGTTTTTTTGGAGTGGGTGGGTAACGGGGGTTGAACTCTGGGACACTCAACCACTGAGCTACATCCCCAGCCCTATTTTGTATTTTATTTAGAGACAGGGTCTCGTTGAGTTGCTTAGCAACTCGCGGTTGCTGAGGCTGGCTTTGAAAACTCTATCCTCCTGCCTCTGCCTCCCAAACTGCTGGGATTACAGGCATGTGCCACTGCACCTGGCCTAATCTATCCATCTTGTAAAAGTTTACTTCACACTAAGATGTTTTCATGGACCAGGGGTCTGGTTCAGTGATATGCTACTAGAAGTGTACCATTTGGTTCCCCAACATGGAATCCCTGATTGGTAGCTTTGCCAGTTCCCGTGGTGTAAATACTCCCATTATGGATGATTTCAAATCATCAAGGTGACCTTATCAAACAGACATTGGGAGATCTGCACAGTGCGCCATTATCTAGCATATCAAGCATACAGATGCAGTGGATGCAAATGACCTCATGAGCAGAGATAATAGTAAAATGTAAAATTAGGAAGAGATTAATTTTGAATATCTATTACCTTTATTAGTCACATGATAATATAATTTTTAAATGTTTATTTAGTTATAGGTGAACACAGAGTATCTTTATTTTTATGTGGTGCTGAGGATTGAACCCAGTGCCTCACACATATGAGGCAAGCACTTCACCACTGAGCTACAGCCTCAGCCCTTATAACTTAATTCTTAATAATGGCTGCTTTACAAGCAGCTCACAGAATTCCTGAAAATTTAGTAGTTGGCTGTAGAGAGTCAGTGAACCAGCTCCAACACACCACGGCCATGGTTTCAAATTGTCCTCTGATGTTTCTGTGCCTCCTTATTTCCTATTATCCCACAACACTTTTTAAAATATATATCTATTTTTAGTTGTAGTTGGTTGGACACAATACCTTTATTTAATTTATTTTTTTTATGTGGTGCTGAGGATCGAACCCAGCCTCTCGTTCATGCTAGGCAAGCACTCTACCGCTGAGCCACAGCCACAGCCACAGCCCCCCACAACACTTTAAAATGCAGTTATGTAGTTATAATGGCAAAATGAAATACTGCC